AATCCTGCCACGACTCACTCCACTCTTGCCAGCTTTGACAACTCCAGCGACAGTACCAGTGGAGAAATGTCCTCCTGAGTCGCTTAACAGAAGTCCTGCCCAATGCTGAATACTGATGATGCCTTACTCGAGAACACCAGCAGGTTGTGCCCCAGGATGAGTGAACCCTGCAGTGACTACTATGATGACTGCTTCACTGTTCCAATGAAGACCGTACCCTGTTACATCATAGCTCAGCCGCAGTAATGTCTCCTGTGTTGCAGTATCTGTCCAGACACAGAAAGGCGTGCAGTGACGCCTACCGACACTCACTGACTTGGACCACAATGTTTAGCACTACCCACCTTTTTTTTTCTTCTCTCCCTGTAGGATTTTTTTTTTGTCCACATCCGCTTGTATACATATGTTTTTATTTTGTGTCCTGTGCCCTGTTCCTGCAAGAGAGAGACGAAGGTTTTTTTTCTCAGTCAATCATGGTCGAGGATGACCATGGGTAGGTGGCCGAGCAAAATGTAGACAATAAGCCTACATGGCTAGTTTCCAAATTTTCCACCAACGGGCAGGCCACTATGTAGACCTACCCAGACCTACCTCGCTCTCACTTGGCGACAAGGCATCCTAGATTCAACAGCTCCACTCCTCTCTCCCTCGCTGGCAAGGCCCTCTGTGCCGCCCCAGGGCACCTAAACACACTGCCTATGTACCACGAACCCAAATAAAATAAGAAGCCTCCTAAGCCTTATCACTGATCCCCGCTACCAAACACACACGTAATCAATCTTCGAAGATGTGTCGCCAAAGTGGGGGCACATCTGCTTACCATCCTTCCAGAAGTGTATATAATATTATATTTTAATATATATATATATATATAATATATATATATATATATATATATATATATATATATATATATATATATATATATATATATATATATATATATATATACATACACAATTGTTTTATTATTTATTTAATTATTTTAGTGTAATTACGAGAATCGAAATGGAATCATCAGGATTCTTTGAATGCAAGAAGTCTCCGGTGCAGGAACATTTTTACAAATAAAATACACCATAACCCGCATTGTGTCTTACATTTCCCGGTCTGCATTTTGATCGTTTTAAATAAACAATCATAACTTGGAAAATATTACAACAACCGACTCACACTTGGTACCAGATTTTCTTTGATGGAATCATCACAATAACTTTTCAGTTTGTTGCACTGTATCCCTGTCACTCTGGTATGATTTACACATATCACTCTATCTTGACCATCAGTATGGAGATTCTCGAGGCCCCTGATCGTAACTGGGGCTATAAAATAGATGGCAAATATAATGGATTTCTGGGGATGCTTCAACGAGACGAGATCGACTTTGGTGGACCTGTTGGACCAGCAGTAGAACGAATGAAGGTCATGGAAGAAGCCAGTGCATACGGAGCTGAGATAGTCTGTTTAGTGTCTCGTAATCCTTCACCTCTGCCTAAATACCTCTCAGTAATAAGTCCTTTTACTGGTAGGTCATAAATTCTTTGATATTCAACTATTATTGGTGACTATGTTATTTTATATTTTCCAAAACCATTCACATAAAATAAAAGCAAGAAAATTAAAGTTTCAAAGAACTTCAGACCATTTAGAAGTTTTACTTTGAATAGTAATACCAACCCCTGTGAGAAAGACCCCGGGGCAGCACCTCACCATGTGTTACTCCTCACATCTTTTCACTTAACAGAGCCTAAAAGAACAAATATTAGCATATTGTTATCTGATACATTTTTTGAGGCTAAAAGAAGGTCCTCGTACTCGAGAAGTTTAGGAGCCGCTGCTCTAAACATTTACTTATGTGTCATACTCTACTGATATTTTCTACTTGTCCTTAATTCCTTCATATTTTTCCGAAAGATATTTGTATAGTTATGTACTGACGATGTACTAGGAATGTATTATATATTTACATGAATTGTTTTGGTGTTTATTGCTCAATTAAAGAGAAAATTTCCAAAATGGAAATCTAATAGTATAATAATTAATATCTCACGAAATCATAATAACACGATTGTAAACAAACCTGGGGTATTAGGACTCACTTGCCATGGGTTTAAACTCGACCCGTTCCGTGGTATGTTGATAATAATTAATGATTGCATTCAGCAAGTCTGTGGCTGATGCTGCTGGTGAGTTCTGTGATGTTGAGTTTGATCCAGTGGCTGCTGCACAAGAAGTGGATTTGGTTGACAGGAGTACATGGAGTGAACCTCAGTTCTGTCATCTTGTACAACTGGGGCGCGATACTCAACCATCCTCCTAAGGACCCGTCTATCAGTAATTCAGGAAGAGTAAGCCTTTCTTTTGTGATACTTCATAAAATAAACTCTATATCTTTTCAACTGATCATGCCTCTTCTTGTTTTAATTTGAATCTACCTTACCTTCTTACTATGAATATTGCCACTATGGTAGCAAACAAAAATAGACATTGAATTCATATATAGACTCCGTTGATGTTACTCTATTCAAGGTTTGTGTAGTATTTCTTCCAGTGTAACACAACTACGCGTTGAAATTAACAGGAGGGACCCCATTACTAATTTCCATTTTTTCACCCTAAGACCTCTCCCCCAGCCTCTACATTTACCTATGTCCTGTTATTCTCTGGTGGAATAGACCAAGTCCCAATAGATGAAAAGTTTTCATTAATAAAATGCCATAAACCACACATTGCGTTATTTATATACAAGCATTGAGAAACTCGTGTCTTGGCAGGTAGCCAAGAAATGAACACCGTCGCTGCCTGTTACTAACAGCTTTTTCAACTCAGATCTGTTGGTAAAGCAGATAATTCCAACTCTCCTGAGCACCAGAGAATAAAATATACAGTTTTTTTTCTTTAAGATATATTCTGCCTACGTAAGTTTCCGTAATTCACTGACAAATATTTAACATACTTCGATGTTTTCTCACTATTCTTGCAATTCTATATCATGTTTCCTGAAATTTTATGCTACTAAAATATAGGTTAGTAGACAGATTCATCACACTTTGTGTAATTAGCGGGATATGGTGATTCTTGTAAATACTATTGAATTAAGAGCCTAGTAGGAGCCATTATTCTGCTTCAGCTAATCTCAAAGTCCAGCTCTGTATAAAGTATATTTCTCTTCGTCCTCCGTAGAATTAGACCCAAAACAGTCAGTAAATTTTCAAGTACCTAATTACTGTTAACGAATGAAAACTAGCGTAAGAAAACAGGATCGACATCTCTACCCCTTCCCTTCCCCTTTAACCCCTTACCCCTAGGACCAGATCTAGCACCTGTGTTCCAAAGGAGTTGCTGCTTAGTTATTTTTACTTGTCGTTGCAGGTGTTGGTAGGTGTGTGGCTGGTGTTCTGCCTGGTCATAACGACAGGATACAGCTCATCATTAATCGCACATCTCACAGTCCAGAGTAAGAGTAAACCTCCGGAAACCTTGGAGGACCTGGTGTCTCTGAACAACTGGAGGTGGGGTATCGAGTCTTGGATGATGAAAGGATCGCCTGGATATATTTTTTCCACGCATGCAGATCCTGTATGAAAATGATATATAAGAAAATGGAGGTGAGCATTATCAAAAATACACAAAAGCTAATTTTTTTTTTTAAATATAAAGATTTCAGCGCAGAAAGGGAACTTTCATGATAAATTTCCTCACGGTATAACATAATTACAGTGTAACAATAATAACCTAGCTGATGTAACAGTAACGATAACTGCAAATTTATCGTGATAAATCATAATTCAAAACTTTTCATAAATCATGTTTAAGACTATTAGGTGAAGTTATTCATCTTCAAGTTGATCATTGTGAAAGATATTTACAGAAACTCCAGCTAGGAAGGTTGACAATATGTATCTAGTGCCAGTTAGCCTATCACACGAGATTGTTAAATATGATTCCCGGCTTCACACTTCGTGATTTTAATCACTACACGATTGACACTCTCTTCCTACAATGGAAAGGATCTCAAGGACTTCAAATGTTTTGATGCATATCAGTTAAACTATGGAAAGACCTCTCTGTCATGGTAACGATAAAAGCCCCTTCCGAAAGTCTGTCGCAGATTTGTGAGGCTATATCTATGTCTTACATTTGCTGGGCCACCTTCCACTTGCTGTGTCGACAAGACAGTATACCTACTTTGACTTAATGTGCTGCAATATCCTGTTTGCCTTAAATATTTTTAGCAACTGATCCAAGAATTTCTGCCCGAAATTCCCCGGCGTGATAGTGGCTTTCTTTGTACTTAACAAATAAAACTTGTAATTACACATTGTAACTTTTACAAAGAAATAAAATCTTTATCTTTATTTTTATCTTTAATATCTCAGCGGTTATCCAGGGTTTAGTTCTCCGTTTAACCCTAAACTCTTTAATTGGTACAATATTGTGAAGGATGACAGTGAACAGTGCACAGAATGTCTCCCTGGCACCATTTGCGTCCGCGCAACTTGTTATGGCAGTCCAGTTCCTTTCACTGTTTCAATTTTTGTATTGCAATTATGACCTAAATTAAAAAAATACTTTATGGAAAATTTAATATTTTTGTCAGTGGGAAAAAATTCACTAATTTTTTTCTTTT